CCCGTTCTATGCTTACTTAAATGTAGAAATAATTCTACTAACTCTAACTTGAATGAATGACTGAGAAGACCTATTCTAATTAAAAAGCATTTTGATTTTTATATATTTATTTATGTATTTATTTATACATTGTTCAACAGGTTAAACCCAATTACAGAACAGGAGTACATTTGGAAGAAAACATGTATAACAAAAAACATATAGATAATCAAACTAAAATTACAGTAAATAAATTCTAAATTATTTTAAACAATGTGTTTTTATGTTTTTAACACTGCTGTTAAATATATCCAACTGTTCATTAATATTATTATAATTATTACACATGTTATATACAGGTGAAAACTTCAGAACGTTTGTCTGAGGAGTTGCAATGTAAAATGATTCGGTGTTTCGAGAGGTTGCGCGGGGGATTCTAAAATTAGGCATATGTAACAGAGCTTCACAACTTATTTTGAAATTAACAACTTTGTAGAGGGTAATTATGGAAGAGTACTTCCGTCTTACGTCGAGACTTGTCAATCGGTGTCTTAGTCAGTAAAGTATTTTTAGTAATACCAATCAGTGGATAAATTTGGTCTGTTCGAAAACTTAAATATTTAAGGAAACGCCTTTGTATGGACTCTATCCGACAAACGTGTATTTATTTGATAAGAAGGATCCCAAATAAACGAGGCATATTCGAGTTTAGATCGAAAAAATGAAAAATACAATGATTTAATAGTATCTGTTTGCTGCTGTTGAAAGGTTATCTATGTGGTATTTATTCGACAATACTGGGTCAAATGTAACCCCTAAATCCATAAAATTGTTGGGTCTAGAAAGCAAACGTCCATTAAAGACATTCAAATATAATTGGATGCGCTTTGAATGTGTATGACATAACGTTACATTTAACGGGAAACAGTGTAAGGCCATTTTTGTTGTACCATTTTCCGACAACCGTTCACAGTCAGAAATATTTTCAATAGCTGAATATATTTTTAAGTCATCAGCATACATCAAATAATCAACATTTATAGCGTCACCAATGTCGTTGATAAAAATAATAAATAAAAGCGGACCCAAATTTGAAACTTTCGGTATACCAGAGGTGGCGCAATATTTGTTAGACTTGAATCCATTTAATTGTACCCTTCAAGTATTTCATTAAGGACTATTTAAAGATGAGTCAGATTTTGATAGTGTGGAAATAGTTAATGTATGTAATAAAACAGATTTATAAAAATGCAGTTTCTTTTATATTGATTTATAATTTATTGGGAAGTCTAAAAATCTAAGTAAAGAAACTGTTATATGTTTATATTAGATATTATTTGTGTCTTTCTGTCACACTATGTATTATTAATAAATATCTAGTATTTAATATAATAAATAAGTGATCAGAAGTCATGTTCTAATTATGGAAATACATGAAAATTCACCTTATTTCAGTAATTAATATTCCTACTTTTTTTTAACGCTCTGTATGATGTATTTTATAAAGTGGAAGTAAGCATTAGCAAACTATTTATAAGTGTAACACACGCCATAAGTTTCATGGAAAAAACATGAATTACTTAAGAGTAGTAGAGATATATGCGACAATATTTTTTCTGTACTCCTTACTTTTGACTCCTTCTAACAGATCACCCTGTAGAGCTGCAAACTTGAGATCCATAAGAAAGTTGCACATAATGACCTAAAAAGTAACATACTAAAATTTGAACAAATGCTGACAGTATCCAAGTGTTGGGTCCTTTATTATGTACATGAACAAATGTAATTTGTTTCATTTATAGTATACCCTGAAAACACTTCATGATAACAAGCCATAAAGCATGCATCCACAATAAAATATTTCCAAAGTAGGTCATGATCAACAAAGACAGAGATGCGAGTTATGTCCATGATACCTATGTAAGGGCTCTGAAATAAATCTAAACTGACACTTAAAAAGAAGAATTATTGTAAGCTACGACATACATGGATTTTTCCAAGGCCTACTTTAGAAATATTTTTTGTGGATTACTCCTTAAAATAAGTTAAATATAGAATTAAATAATAAAAAAGCTTTAATAAATGGTATTTTATCTTCTATCGATGTTTCATTTGAACATTTTAAATTTAAATTTATTGCCATAATGTCATCAATAAAATATATATTTTTTGCAGGTATATATAAAACCAGTCTGTCTCTCAGATAAAATATATTTTTTGGCTATTCAACAATTTTTTTTTGAAATTGTCTAATCCAAATAAATGATTTAAATTTCGAGGTATGATTTTTAGAAGATTTCTTAATCAAATTGTACTTAAGATATTAGTTTTGTAAATTGCATTGATTATATTTCAAATATACATATTCAGCTTAAATTTTTCTTGGGTTTAGGACAAAACTATAAAGAGCAACATAAATAAGACTATTCATATGAATTGAGAATAAGAGGGATAAAACAGAAGTAGAGCGTTGGCAATCACATTCTTCTTGACCAATCTCATCCGTCAACTCCGACTGCGAACCAAATAAAATCAGTCTAGACCAAATTGAGTCCATACCGCGTGAAAATAAAACAATAGATTCTGATATTCATTTCAAAATAACTAGGTATTATTATGCTGAACGTTATTTATACTACTCGTGAAAAAAATACAAACAGTGTGAAGTGGTACTATGGGGGGTCATTTGGTTCAAAATATTATAAATTTATTTGCATTTGTACAGTTCATGCAATTATAGAAAATGTTATTAATTTTGGCTACACCGTCTTCAAGTAAACAAATTGCTGCTGAAGTTGATGAGAGACGAGTATGAAATATTTTAAAAAGAAACGGGTATTCCTGTTTTAAGGTATAGACTACTCAAGAAATTTTTCCTGACGACCATTTTAAACGGATTGAGTTTTGCCAAATAATGATGGAAATAACAAACCCAAATATTAATTTTTTAAAAAATATTTTATTAACAAATGAGTCTTCTTTTACTCTCCATAGAAAACATAATCCATCCGTTTTACGCTATTTCTTTTTTCATTCAGGGTAACCTGAATGCCCTGAAGTAATTTACAACTACTTGAAAATGACATTATTCTTACCGTCAGAAACCTTCAGGTCAACTTCAATGTCATTTGGTTCCAACAAGATGGATGTACATCACATAATGCAGATAGCGACTACCTACCTAAATGAACAATTTCCCAATCGAGTTATTGGTACTAAAGTTACATATTATGGCATTTGAGTTCCAAATTTTCAATGATTTTGCCAGTAATCTGAGTAAACCATTTAATCAATATTTTAGCAATATTTTTCAAGCATTCCTAAATTAAAATAAACAATTTTTTAAATTTCTATTTGGTGTTTTTTTACCTTTTTTATTACCTAAACGATATATTTAGGACTTGAAGTAATAGGCTATTATGTCTTAAGAGGTCAATTCTAGTCTATTTTTATCAAAAAACGTTTATAACACAAGATTTTAAAGGAAATTTAATCTACTTTTTTATGAAGCAATGCCTGCACCTACGTCTATTCAGAAAGCAATTATAAGAAAAAAAGTAAAAAAATGGATTTTTTTACATAAAAAAAAATTAAATAATGTAATGTGAAATAATCGTATTCTTTACAAAAAAATTCGTATTAACTGCATGAATTTTGCTTCGCTCAGAAAGCAATTAGAAGCAAAATAAGTACCAAGGAAGCAAAAATAGATCTTTTGTTATTTAATTCTTTTTTTTATAATTTTTCCCTAAAAATTTTTTAAATAAATACTTAATTCAATGTGAAATCGCATTTACAAAAAAAATTCATATTAACTATACCTGAATTTTGCTTCGTTTCTGAGATATAATTAAAAATCTCTAAGATTTGCATTTTCAGCCCTATCTCCAATTTCCACCTGCTAATTCAATAGCATATTTATTAACCATTTGAATTGATGTATGCAATAAAAACCCATAAAAGTGATCATTCCTTTCTATATTACATATTCAATAATCTATAAGGGATTTGCAAATTGCATTTTATTTCAACATTTCATGCATTAAAACTGGTGAAAATGACAACACCATTTACATATTTATATTTATTTAAGCGATAAATTTGAAATGGTTACGCTACTGATTTGAAGTCGAACAGCAAATTTATAATATAGCGCTAGTTATGATGACACGTTCGCACATACGACTGCAACTTCAGGTGGGTTCTTCTTTCGTGAAACAGATTCTACTAGGTACATTTATTGACAGGTTGGATAGCAATTAGAATATACACTTGTGAGCTTACATTTTTTATTACCTCTTAAAACCTGAATTTATATTCAATATAGGTAATTATCTGTTTTTAATCTTTATGCCTCATTATAATTTTAATTAAATTTAGTATTAAGTGATGTTACATTTATTACTGTATGTCAAGGTTAATTCCATTGAATTTGTTGATATCTACAAATGCAGTTTGTTGAATAATCTTATATTATTCTAAATTAAACTTATTTCCATTTTAAATAGCACTTTTTTGGACCGCACTAGTCTATTTAGTAGTTATCAACCATGAGGTGCTAATGTAGTAATGTATCCTGTATATATGATCTGGACTAATAACACTGTTTTTACGGTAAATACATAGTTTTTGTACTTGGAAATGAGCATACCTACTTCAGATCGGTTACATCTGTAATGTATTCACCCATTATAATGCATTTTTGTGATTCAGTGGCAATTAAATGTTGGTTAGAATATATGAAAATACTAAGAAAATTAAAGTAAATTGTACCTACAATGGTGATATTTAATTAAGGGTTAAATAATCAATATTTACAATTCTAATGAAATTGTGTACCCAAACTTATAAATTGAGAAAATGTTAGTGGCATTTTTTAATCAATTTTGCAAAATATAAACAAAAACTAATATCTTTAAGCCATACTAAATGGATTTATTGGTGTGCCTAAGTGTATAAATAACTTTAAAACACATGATACATCAAACTGCCGGTCTAAATGAAAAGGATATATTATTTACTTGTGACATGATACCGCTTTCTTCGTCGGGAGAATCATTTCCACTCAATACTCTTTTTAACTTATCCATTTTGGTGTATCCGCGAATCCACAAAATACCTGAAAATCTATAAATACATCGTTAAATCATGATATTATTTAGAGGAATATTTCAAATTTACCTTTTTTAAACACACAATTAGTAATATACAACTAATACAGTGAAAAACCCATATATCTTCAAGCAAATAACATTATGGTAGGTTTATCAACTGACTCACGTATCAAAAAACTTTTAAATGTCAAAATTCAACAGGTCAACACCGCTGTCATGACTACATGCGTCAAGTCAAAGTGAGTGATTTGACTGTTTTGTGCGTCGGATATCTAAAATCATGTTAAAAAAGATTATCACCTTCTTAAGAAATACTTTAAACTAAACTTTTAATTTTGAATTCACAATTAAATTTAAAACTAGAATTTAAAAAATCGAAGGTATGCAACACAAATTACATTACATGTCTTCTGGCTGTTAGGCGCCAATTTATTCTGAATTTGAAATAGGAAAGTGAAGGTGGGCTTAGGAGCAAACCGGACCTCTCGAGAAAGCAAGGTTTTAAGGATTTTCTAATATAAAATTATATTTATATGCGAGCTACAGACAGACACATATGCCAGTCCTCGCGCGTCGTTGATGCTGGCGGAAGTACTATGGACCAGCGAGTAGTCTTTCGGAAGCGAGAGCAGATCTTGTTGCTCGGTCGTAACACCATATCTGGCTTTTCCAGTACCTGCATATGCACCCATAAATTCTTCACAGACAAGGTCTGGTGTTTCTTGAAGTTGGTTTACTTCTTCTTCATGGTCACCCTCAAATGGAGCCAGCCTGTTTTGGGGCACTACCTTTGGTTTACCGTTTGGAATCTTACTTATACGGTAAATTACATCATTTATTTTATTCTTAATAAGGTACGGACCTTCCCAAGACCTTTGAAGCTTCGGAGAATAACCCTTTTGCCTTTTTGGGTTATGGAGCCATACTTTGTCGCCTTCCTTGAAACATCCCTCCGTATCTTGAGTATCGTACCGTTTCTTCATCCTGTCGCTGGCGATTTGGAGATGCGAGCGAACTAATTCATGCATGTCGTCCATTCTTCTTCGTAACTGGATCACATAATCTTCACCAGCTACATCTTCTCCAGGTCGGCATCCAAACTCGAGGTCGCACGGTAGTCTCATCTCACGCCCAAACAAGACCTTTGCTGGTGTTTGGCCTGTTGATTCATTGACAGCGGATCTATAAGCCATTGCAAAGAGTGAAAGATACTGATCCCAATCTCTCTGATGGTTTGAAACCACTTTTGACAGATATTTGCCAATGGTCTTATTCATTCGCTCTACCATTCCATCGGATTGTGGGTGCAATGCTGTGGTTCTGGTCTTCTTCATGCCTAGTCTGTCACAGATTCCACGGAAAAGTTGACTTTCAAAATTTCTACCTTGGTCACTGTGGATATCCAAAGGCATTCCAAATCGACAGATAAACTCTTTTATCAATACATCTGCAACAGTTGCGGCCTCTTGATTTGGAATGGCATAGACTTCCACCCACTTTGTAAAATAATCCATAACCACCAAAATGTATTTATTACCATCCTCGGTCTCGGGGAATGGTCCAGCAATATCTAAGGCGATCCTCTCAAATGGGCTACCAACGTTGTATTGCTTCATGGGTGCCTTCCTTTTTCGTTGAGGTCCATTACTCATAGCACAGGTGGTACATTTCTTACACCAGTCCTTTACATCATCGGAACTGTTCATCCAGTAAAACCTTTCCCGAACTCTCTGAAGGGTTTTCCTAACACCGAGATGTCCTCCTGATGGACTGTCGTGTAATTGACGAAGTACTTCAGCCACTCTACTTCTTGGAATGACCAACTGTCTTCTGTTCTCGGAACCACCCAGCTAGCACCGGACGTGGTTTCACGTCATAATCACGTTGAATTTTGGTCAAATACGTCGATGTGATTTTTTGACGCAAAAGTAACGTAATAATGACGTCATTTTCGGACCAATTTGACACGTAAACACAGTTGTTGCGAACAAAATACACCTATTTATATCATAAATGCAATTAGAGTTTTTGTTATTTATTATTAGATAAATAGAAGGTAATTTATACAACATCGTTTATTTTGCGGTCATTGTGACACCAAAATAAGACGTACTATGACGTTATTTAGGGACTAGTTTGTCACGTTCTGAAATGAGGCGTTAAACTGCGCACGTGTACACGTCGATTCTATACCTTTATTGTTTTACATTCTATTTATTAATAAAAGTATCTTTAGTGTTTATAATAAATTTATGATTCTCATTTTAAATCTAGGGATTTTTGGGAATTTTCATTTTTAAATGAAATTTTATGTCAACACTGTTTAAAAATGTCAGCTGTCATGTCATTGTCCAAGGTTAGCGGTTCGGTTCACGCCATTTTGTGTAACTTGTGTTTGGAACATTCTTTTATTGTATGATTTTGTATGTGTTTTGAAGGTAAGTAGTTAGGAAGTTTAGTGCGATATTATTGTTTATTTTTAGTATGTTTATAGGAATTCAATACACCGACAAGCACGGAACCGGAGTATTATTAAACCACTTTAAGTTCTAAGTAGCCGACATCCTGGAAAATGAGGTTCTTATAAACAACAAGAATCTTTTAACAAGAGCTTAAAAAAGGAAAAAATTGGACTCTTTCCTATTTATAGAACATATTTTACCGAAGGTGAGTGATTTTTTATATTGTAAAGGTGCCTGTAGCTAGCCTAATTTTGTTTTAATTATTAACGTAGACATTAATATAAACAAAAATTTAAGGATTTTAAAACAAAACCGTTCATAAAGATAATTTAAACATACACATTCCTAAGATTTGATCATTAAGTTGATTTTTATTTATCTTTACTATGTTAATGTTGATGCCTATGTTATTCTGTATAAACAGGTACATTGAAATAAATTAATAACTTTTATGTTGAAACTAAATCAGGCTGACTAAACTCACCTTTAGACAATTAAAACACTGGTCTATGTATTATTACTAAAACCTTTCCCTTTATGTACTGTGGTTTTAATTACATTGTTTTATGAAATTATTTTGCATTATATACCTTGATATTATATTTTTTGAATTTTTGTTGGTTACTGAGACCTATTATAGTTATAGTATTTCGTAAACCATCTCTGTGAGCCGTTTTATTTATTTAAAAAAGTATAGTGTATAAAATTATTAATCTGTTTTAGAGAACTACCAAATAGCTAGCCAAAAAGCAACAAAGGTTCTTATGACATAGGATATAACAAGTGATGATGAGTTACAACCTCTTCCTTGTAAAAGAAAGCCATTAAGAAGAATATTTTCAAGTGAAGATGATGAATTCGTTATTGATGACGAACCTATTGGTAGGTAATCACTGCTTTGTCTAGCAAAACTTATTTTTTATTATGAGTAAAATTCATACTTTTGTGACAATGTTATAAGTACATTTCTTTTATTCCGAACATTTTTTTCTTCAAATGTCAATAATTATTTTTCACAATTATTAAAAATCTCACCTTTACATTCAAAAGAGCTTGGGGGTAAAATAATTTTTCCTCTTATTAATATATACCTTGTAAAAATAATAACATTTCTTCATTTCATTAATTATAAAAAAGTCAGGTTAACCTGGTTTAAAATTCGCAATTTTATATCACTTTAAAAATTAGCATCATAAAATTATTATTAAAATATTAGGTTTTTGACCCATGAAGAAATACTAAATTTTGTGTTAGCTAGGAGCATCTAGTACTCTTTAGCCAGGCGCATATTAAATTTTGTCATTGATTTCTCTTGACAGATCTGATTTTATTTATCTTGTTAAATTTGTGAACCATCAAATATATCACTTTTGTGACAGCTTAATGATATAAAACAATTTCTGTCTTTCTCGGTCAATGCTAACTCTATTTTTTGGCTCAATTTTTATTTAAATAATTAAGTTTCTGGTAGTTATAACTATTATATTTTTGTTTTAGTGAAATGAACATTTAATAAGGATACCATTGAAGCTGCTTCAAGCCTGTATATTCGGAATGATTTGTTGAATATCTGGACACTGCTATATAATCTTTTGTAATTTATACATTCTAAGTACATATTCTAAGAAGTAATGTTTATTTAGTAATAGTTCAGGTTAGTATACTATGTTTCAATTCAGAAATTTTATGCAGTAACCTATCTTATTTTATATAAAACATATTTTTATTAAACATTTTTTAAATAAAACGTTTTTTATAAACATTTTTTTACAAATTAAACATTTTTAAATGAATATTATGGTGTTTTTTTGACGTCTAAACACGTTATCTGGTGACGTGTTTATCACGTCACTGTATGACGTCTTTGATCTGTGACATATTGCCGTCATAATCACGTCACTAGCACGTCATAAATTGGTGATTTCGACGTAAAATGTGCCGTGTATTTCACGTGAAAATCACGTGTCTGTGCTAGCTGGGCATAATCATTTTCAAGTACTCGCTTTAATAAGCCATCTTCCAGGATAAAGGAGTCCCACTGAGCCCAATATGATTTAACTACTGGAGAGAATTTCGATACTTCTTGCCAAGTAGGTCGACGATTTTCTTCTTTCCAGTCTCGTAGCTTCTTTAAAACGGGATCATTCTCTTGTTCTTCCCTAAGTTTGACAGGGGTCCACTCATCGCTGACAACCGATGTTCTTCGTACTGTAACTTCTTTAACAGATGTGGCCAACCCCTTTCCAATCAGAGTTCCTTGACCAACACCTTTATTGCGCTTCGAAGGTTCCGCTATGACAGGCGTTGCCTTCTCTACAGTTCCTTGCAACCGCCTTACTCGTATGGTTTCACTACTTTCAGGTAACACCGTTCCCTCCTGTACAGCCACCGACACAGTTTTTCCTTTCGTAGTGTTCTTTGGACGTTTGCGCGAACTGCTTACTTTTCCCATTTCACCGCAATTCCAGCACCTAATAGTCTTCGGTTGCTTCTCAATAAGACTTTTTATCATGTGAAACAATTGGTCCAATTTATTTCCCTGTTCTTCTTTTACAGTTCTTACTTCACTGTATCCACCAGAAGCCAGTGTAGCCGCTTCATATTCAAGAGCAGCGGACAAGACATCGACCAATGTTTTGTGACGGGCTACACGAAGTGTTCTTTGCATTTCATGGTCACGAAGTCCATCTACAAATGCTTGAACAGCCAAACATTCCATCATGTTTTCCGGAGCTAATGGATAAGCAAATCGCACCAACCTGGCAATAACTACTTCATATTCCTGAAGAGTCTCGTCTCGTTTTTGTTTACGATTTTTCAACTGTGACTGGTACAAATGCTCCAAGTGTTCGTGGCCATATCGCATATTTAGTCTCTTTTTGAGTTGTTCAAAATCATCTATCTCTTCCACGGGT